GTCAACTCTCAAGATGAGATCCAAAGAGCTGTCACTATCAGTGAAGCAAGCCATCATTAGGCTGAAAAAACAACACAAACCCATCAGAGAGATAGCAAGAACATTAGGCGTGGCCAAAACAGCAGTTTGGAACATTCTTAAAAAGAAGGAACGCACCGGCGAGCTCAGCAACACCAAAAGACCCGGAAGACCACGGAAAACAACTGTGGTGGATGACCGAAGAATTCTTTCCCTGGTGAAGAAAACACCCTTCACAACAGTTGGCCAGATCAAGAACACTCCCCAGGAGGTAGGTGTATGTGTGTCAAAGTCAACAATCAAGAGAAGACTTCACCAGAGTGAATACAGAGGGTTCACCACAAGATGGAAACCATTGGTGAGCCTCAAAAACAGGAAGGCCAGATTAGAGTTTGACAAACGACATCTAAAAAAGCCTTCACAGTTCTGGAACAACATCCTATGGACAGATGAGACCGAGATCAACTTGTACCAGAGTGATGGGAAGAGAAGAGTATGGAGAAGGAGAGGAACTGCTCATGATCCTAAGCATACCACCTCATCAGTGAAGCATGTGATGTCTATGCGTTCCAGACTTCAGGCTGTAATTGACTGTAAAGGATTTGCAACCAAGTATTAAAAAGTGAAAGTTTGATTTATGATTATTATTCTGTCCCATTACTTTTGGTCCCTTAACAAGTGGGAGGCACATATGCAAACTGTTGTAATTCCTACACCGTTCACCTGATTTGGATGTAAATACCCTCAAATTAAAGCTGACAGTCTGCAGTTAAAGCACATCTTGTTTGTTTCATTTCAAATCCATTGTGGTGGTGTATAGAGCCAAAAATGTTAGAATTGTGTCAATGTCCCAATATTTATGGACCTGACTGTATATGGTGATTAGATAGAAAAATATTTTATCATTACAATATCCCCCATTACTAGAAAAAGAGTTTCTTAATATGAATACAATTGTTAAAAACATATGTGTGTGATTTTTTTTTTTTTTTCTCTGTATGTGTACAACTATTTTTTTAATTATGTATTAAATCCCACCTCTTTTATAGTTAAAACTTCCAGTTTTATTTGCTGCTACCATAAAATAGAAAATCAACAGACTCTCCCCTAGGCATTCTATGTATTTTTTAAATAAAATCACCTAGTCCAACTTGTTATAGTAAAATATAAATTTTTCCTATAACAGATTACTTTACAAGATCAATTCCCACTGGAAAATAAGAATAGACAATTCTTGTTCTAGGGTACCATCTGGTGGCCAAGTGAGCTAGTACATAAGTAAACACAAGGTTGACAATTGCCTTACCAATCCTAGAGAGGGTTACACCTTCTGGGCCAAGTTTAGCAAAGTTTTATGACAGTATTGTCTGGCCACTCCATAAGAGATCAAATCAAGTGACAGAGGAGGACACACTCATCATCGGCAGACACATGCCAATCATCTAGAGAACAGATGCCCATCATCTGGAGACCATCACATCATCTGAAGAGCACTCATCTAGATCTGACACTTCTCTGAATCCAGGGCCCCAGCTCCAGCCTAGATAGACACTATTTTGGGGAAGATCAACTCTACCTGTTAGTCAGCAGCCATTTTAGAAGAGTCTGGCTAGATAGCCATTTTAACAGGTAACTATAGTTTCCTATATATTTTTGATTTTCTGTGTGCATGTATTGTATGCTAGGTAATTTGCTACCCCATTAGATCTAACACATTTTAATTTGCATGAATTGGCATAACTTTAGATGAACTTCACCAGGTAATCCGACTGCAGCGGTTTCAGGGGTCAAGTTAGTCAAATGCAGATTATTATCTGCCTAATTTAATAAAAACAAGTTAGGATATCTACATTTATTTTAATCCAACAGATACATCAAGGCTTTAGCAATTCATTATAAATTGTAATGTCTGTGTCTACCTATAAATCAAACTGTTAGTGCTGTTTTTAAGTGACTTATTGTAATAAATATTAATTTTTTTTTTTTATATTACTTTGATATTCTTTGTGCTTGGAAAAAAATAGTTCAAAATAATTAATTAAGTCATTTTTAAATTATTTTTGCATTGGAGGCACTGTGGTTCATAAAACAATTTTGTTTGAATAAAACAATTTTGTTCAATTAGCTGACTAATTTAATTGTTCAGGCATTCCCTGACAGGACAGAAGGCTTAATGCAGACCTTTATTTAAAAGTGAAAGTTCCACTAATCCTCCTCCCCTACTGCATCAAAATTGGTGTTTTATATCTGGGAGAGGGTACCTTTTTTCTGTTCCCAACTCTGCAATTCTCACTTTGACAAGAATTACATAAGCTTGGCCTGCCCCTGACCCCGTCCAAGGAAGCTGTAGGATCAGTCTGAAAGCTCCACAAGATCAGTGGGGAGCCAAGTGTGAAACCTCAGGAAGTTACAGCCGCCTCCTATATCCAAGATGGCAGCATTGGTGATCCAAAGCCTGGCAAAATCAGCTCCAGTGAAGATAGCACTGAACTACTGTGGTTGGTAAGTGTATTTTGTTTAAAAGTCAGCATTCCAGTATTTGTAGTTGCTGACTTAATTTTTTTACAACAGGGCTGAAGTTCCTCTTTAATTAACCCCTTCCCTAAAGAGAAAGTAACGACATAAACTCTTATGCAGTATAAAGCAAGCTGAGCATGCAGCCATAGTGATGAGGAGGAATTGCTGTAAGAAACAGGGAAATATTTTTTTTTTCTTCAAAACCTCCTGTTCATGCCTGTTTGTGCCGCTCCATCTGTCTCCTCGTCTTGGTGAAATGGAGTTGTATTTATTTTGACCATGTTTTAATTTGATTCTCATTAAAGGGAATCAATGGTTAGAGCATATGTTTTCATTTTATAGCATCAGCATCGCAGTAACAATACAAGCAAACGTTGTTTTTGACAATCAAATATAAGCTTTCCTGCATGCTTTGCAGCTTCTTTTGCTGTCTACTTTCTATTTCTAAGGACTACATATCTCATGATACCTGGACTCCTGTACTGACTCCACCTCCTGAAACTCCTCCTTTCAGCTCCTCTGTAGTCCAGAAGGCAGGCTCCGTGAAATGTGTGACACAGAAGTGCCTACCCACAAGGCATAGTAACTACGTGTCACAGAATTCAAGGAAGTAAATGTGCGGGGATCTTCATACAGTAAATTTACAAACTTCAAGATCATTCAGATTAAAGGCTAAATTCACTTTTTTTTGTACAAAAATATACAAGTTCTCTTTGATCTGGAGAGCAAGGCCTTACCTTGGCCCTTGGTAAATTTCTTAGAAAGCTCTTTCAATTCCTGGAATGTAGACAGAGGACAGAGGAACCAGTAGGTCCCCAGAAGCAGATTACCAGCTGATCTCTCCCCTGTCAGCTCCTGCACACTGCTCTGGATGGCTCTGCATAGCAGTGTGCTTACAGTGTAAAGCACACACACAGCACACAGTTAACCCATTGATCGCCCCCACATTAACCCCTTTCTGCCCAGTGCCATTAGTACAGTGTCAGTGCTTTTTATTAGCACTGATCACTGTATTGGTGTCACTGGGGATGTCACCAAGTCAGTTCCCCCCCAGTGTCAGAATGCCCGCCGCAGTCCCCCTGTAATCACTGATCGCCGCCATTACGTAGTAATGGCCATTATTAGTAAAAAAAAAAATCCAGTATATATACCGCCATTTGTAAACACAATAACTTCCATGTGAACCAATTAATTTACACATATTGGGTTTTTTTTTTTAGCAAACACATGAAGCAGAATACATTTTAGCCTAAATTTATAACGAAATTTGATTTTTTAAATTTTTTTACTGAACATGTTTAATAGCAAGAACATAGTTTTTTTTTCAAAATTGTCAGCCTTTTTTTGTTTAGTATTGCAAAAAATAAAACCACACAGGCGATCAAATACCATCAAAAGAAAGCTCTATTTGTAAGAAAAAAAAGGATGTAATTTTAATTTGGGTGCAGCATTGCATGACCGCGCAATTGTCAGTTAAAGTAACGCAGCGCCGTATCGCAAAAAATGGCCTGGTCAGGAAGGGGGGAAAATCCTCAGGAGGGCAAGTGGTTAAGACACTGACATTCACATTCATTAGATGCAATTTCAGGTGTGATTTAAATTTGCAAATTGCACCTGAAATCTCACCGGTATGACTGGGCACTAATAGCAGTAGGCTAGAAATAACTGAAATACAATGTGAAAATGAATTTATGATTTTACATTTTGACCGGAGACACATTTTAAAGCTGTAAAGCATTATAGTTTACAAATGGCTGAATAAAGAATTGTAGTTTATATGATGGCTGTTACACTGTATGTTGGTATAATAGAACATTTATGAAATCATAGCTCACCATAGGCTACATTGCTCAAGTTTACAATCAAAAGCTTCATGATGATAATAAAATAAAATTAAAAAAATCTGATGAAGCAGGAATTGCCTTTCACATAGCTTTTAATGTTTCATAGTTTTTATAAGGTTGAAAAAAGTACACAGGCCGATGCGGTTCTACGAATGTACATACAGTATACACATGTGTGGGTTTTAGTCTCTAAACAATTTGCATGTATGTGCTGCTTCCTGAAGCAGATAGCTAAACTTTTTTTTACTTTGTTGTCACTCTCTGCTAGAACCACTTCCTGGGGATGGAGTGCCAAGAACCTTTTCTTCAATATAATTTTAAACCTTCTTTCTTCTAACCTCAAATTGTGGCCATGTGTCCGCTTTAGGAACCTTCGAGTAAACTCCAACTGTAACCTATGTAATTGATCCTCATAACTGAGGTCTTTCATTGCCCTTAAAGTGTTACAAAACCCACAACATCAGTCTGTAGATGCAGTAAAGAATGCTTGTTATACTCACTGTGGAACCTAAGGGGTTAATCCTCTGCATTGAGTAAAAAAGCTGTTTGATCCTTTCTTCTCTGCCCCTCCTATTGTTGAAATGACCACCTGATACAGACCGAATCTGTGGTCACATGCACATGCTCATTTTGGTGTGTATTGCTAGAGAGTTTTTTTTTTCTTGGGAAGGTGCATGTGATCAGCACAGGGCCAATCAGCACTGTCCAGACAGAGGGTCAAAGGTTTCATATCCTCCTAGAGCAGAAAGAACACTCCTCCTACAAGCTTTAACCAGTGCTCTGCTGAAGTCACAAGACTGCTCTAACTGCTGATGAGAAAAGGTATATAACAGTTTATATCAGGGGCGGACTGACCATTTGGAAACTCGGACACTGCCTGAGGGCCTGGGGTCAGTAGGGGGCCCCATGAGATACCCCTGGTACCTTTTTCATAGGCTTTTATGAGTTTGGGCAAGGACACAGGGGCCCCATGATCCCCTATTGCCCAGGGGCCCCATGAGTTGTCAGTCCGCCCCAGATTTATATTTACTAAATTAATTGCATTCCCATGTTTTGTGTACTGTGGGAGACCAGATATAGTGAATGCAGGGTCCTGGGAGACCGGATATAGTGGATGCAGGGTCCAGGGAGACCGGATATAGTGAATGCAGGGTCCGGGGAGACCAGATATAGTGAATGCAGGGTCCAGGGAGACCGGATATAGTGAATGCAGGGTCCGGGGAGACAGATATAGTGATTGCAGGGTCCAGGGAGACCAGATATAGTGAATGCAGGGTCCGGGGAGACCAGATATAGTGAATGCCGGGTCCGGGGAGACCAGATATAGTGATTGCAGGGACCGGGATTTAGTAACACTTTAATAATTTTGTTGCTCTTCGCTGAACTCCAATTCAACAATTGTCTTGCATGTTTTAAATCATCAGCTACTGTATAATAAAGACATTAAAGATAAGTATCACTTTCAACATCCTGTTAGTATTTGTGCTTAAAGTGATACTAAAGAATAGGTTTTTTTTCTTTTTTTTAATATCAAATGTCATACTTACCTGCTCTATAATGGTTTTGCCCAGAGCAGCCGAATACTCCTCTTCTCGGGTACCCCCCGCTGGCGTTCCTGGCCCCTCCTTCCTGCTGAGTGCCCCCAGAGCAAGTGGCTTGCCCAAGCAGTTGTGCTCCTGAGCCGTAGCTCAGCGTGTCCATTAACACACAGAGCCGTGGCTGGCCCCACCCACTCCCTCTCCTGATTGGCTCACTGGCTGTGATTTATAGATGCTCATGGATAACTGGATTGCGATGCGGCTCAGGTAAGTTTTGTCTGGGGGGGGGGGGGGCTGCTGCACAGATAAGGTTTTTTTACCTTCATGCATAGAATGAATGAAGGTAAAAAACCTTGAGCCTTTAGTAACAAATTTAACAGACTTTAATTGCCCAGAACAGCTAAAGTGACAGTTACTTGAAAGCCCACCCCAACCCCCCTATAGTCATCTTTACTATGCTCACCTATTACTCTGTTCATCAGTTGGAGTTACACCATATTCAACATTTGTTTTGAATTTTCAGAGGCTACACAATTTACCTTTTTTCTATATTCTTGATCTGGCCCACTCTCCCTTCATTTTGCCTAGACCAGAACTACATCAGCCATGCTCTTGCAGATGTCAGATATCCCAGGAAGCATCGGCTTATGCTGGGTGGCTGTAAGTGGGTGGAACCAGCAGTGCATCATCAGGGAGCCAGCTGCCTGAACCAAGAAGAGACAGCTAGGTCCCTGATGAAGAAGATGAGGAGCAGGACCCAGCATGAGGTGGCTGTTCAGTAGAGCACAGCTGCACAATGACCAATTTGTTGGTGTGGGTGAGTATGTGAATTCAGAATATCTTAACAAACCAGGGAAGAGAGGGTTAAAATCAAAATTATCTCCACGTGTTTTCCAGTTTTGCTGTAGTGCAGTGCTTTCTCCAGTAGGATGTGCTTAGGGGTTTCCTATGATGTGTCATCTGCCTTACTTAGTTGAGAGATTCAGAGGATTGACTCAGAGATACAGCATGGACTGACTTTGCAGGTTTCTTGACTGGCCAATCACTGATATGCAGTGGGTTGGGTCTAGCTTTTAACAAAACATCCTGAGTAGGCTTCTCAAAGGTTCTTGGCCTACAGGCTGTTGACTGAGTGTGGGGTGCTGTACTGGAGCCACCATGTGCTACCTAATTCATGGAGGACCTTACATAAACTGCTCTTGCTGCTAAAAGGGATATCATTTGGGACACTAGAACCATAGTTGAAACTTACTGGTCTTAGACCCCATCCATGTTGATGCAGTACATGAACAGATATCACTGGGGATACTGAAGCCACACTTTAACCTTTACTGGTCTGTGACATCATCTTAGTTGATTCAGTAGCTAAACAGGTATCACTGGGGAGAGTGGAACCACACTTGAACTTTTACCAGTCTGAGACCCCACCCATGTTGACCGATATCATTGGGGTTCACCTACTAGGGGGTCAATGGAGTATCACTTGACCCTCAACTGGTCTGAAACTGCAGTCACTACATGGCACATTGAAAGCTTGCAGAGGCTCAGCATTAAGTTTACATAATGGGCACAAGTCCTTTTAGTAGCCTGAAGAAATAAAGATCTAGTATTGTTTAACAACATTGCTACATTAATTAAATATTGATTCCACAAACACATTCCTGATTAAAAAGTCAGACAGTTTACAGATATAGCAGTACTGTTGGAGTCTGTTCATTTTCCTTTGCACAGTCATTTTCAGAAAGCTTCAATGCTGTAAATAAAAAATGTTGTTCATTATTTTAAAATAGTACGTGAATTTTAAAATAGTACGCTTGTGGTACTAAAACTTTACCCCGAGCTACACTCAGGAATACCGCCAGGGAGGTTAAAGAAAACCCCACACCAAAATTTTAAAAAAAATGCCCTTAGGTCTGGTATGGATTTTGGGGGAACAGCACACCATAATAAAAAAAACAAACAATGGCCTGTAGGTGCCCTCACAATCCAAACAATTTTGTGGGTCTGGTATGGATCTGGGGGGACCCCACGTCGTTTTTTTTTTAATCTTGGTGTAGGGTTCCCCTTAATATCCATATCAGACCTCTAGGGGTTTGGGGGGGACCCTCTCGCTGCATCTGAAAAAAACACTGCATGTGATGTGGCCAGCAAAACCCTGGTGATAAATATTGTATCTTTTTTTTACTTTCTGTTGTGTTTGTGAATTGGACGTAACAGCTTACCGCATGGTTATTTGCGGTATTTACTGACACGTTATTAAATTCACGTTAAATACCGCAGAATCAATTTTTTGGTTTTTTTTTTTCTCAATTGGACAGGTGAGGACAAAACATCTCCCAACTCCCGCCAAGTCAAATGACCATTTCTTGCCAAGTCTTGCCAAGGCACATGTAGCTATCTGCAGGTTTTTGTACTCTCCCAGCCTCCCTTGGATGTCTGTAGTTGCCTTTAGCCAAATGTTAGCCCTATTCTTACAGTAAAAATAAAGGCAAAGCTTTTTTTCCCATTTGGATAGGGTAAGGGAGGGTTATAACCCCTGTCAGTTTTTCTGCCATCTGTATCCCTTTCAAGAGATTTCCCATTACTTCCTGTCCCATAGCCAAAACAGGAAGTGAGAGGAAATCCCTCCAAAGTGAGGGAATCGCTGGTTGTCACCAGAACCAGTGTCCTCTATTGAAAGATTCCCCCTCTAATCCTGTTCTGGGGGATTTTCTTTTCCATTCAGTGATAACAGTAAACAGGACACTAAGGAGAGGGTAAATCTCTCTAAATACAAAATGCAAAACGCAGATTTTAGATGGCATTCATTTGAATGACACCTAAAAACGAGGTATGATTTTGCCACAATTGTCACGCGATAAATCACAATGCAATCTCAGCAGACCATAACATGCGAAGCTTGTCACCCAAAAGAAGCTCTTGCTCCTATTTGGGTGACACGCTTTGTGCATTGCGACTGCAGCGTGATTTATTGCGTGACAATTGTGGCAGAATCGCACCGTGTTTTTCAGGTGCCATTCAAATGAATGCCATCTAAAATCTGCGTTGTGCCATCTTGTTAGAGCATTTTGAAATTGCAGGCAGAATCGCAGCAATTCTGCCTGCAATTAAAAAAGTCTAGGTGTGAATGCAGCCTAACCAGTCTAAAGCTAAATCGAAAAATGTATTAAAACAAACATGAAATCTTTGCAATAATAAATTAAAGGTGATATCTCATCATGGACACATCGTGTAACAAACAAGCTTACTACAAACCCTTAACTAAATGAGAAAATAAAAATAAATAATAAAAAATAACAAAGGCCAAATCACTGCTAAGCCCACCCCCCCCCCCCCGAATGAATCGATATTATTCAGGTAAATGCTTGCTTATAGCAAAGCAATTCTTTGCTATAAGCAAATTGTGTAAAAAAAAAAAAAAATACTGATCACTTCCCCAAAGTAGTACAATGTTACTATGGTAACATTATACTACTTTGGTCATAATGAAATATGAAAAAAAAATGTTAAAAAAAGAGAAAAAATGTAATAAGAAATTAAAACTAATAAAAAAATTTTAAAACATTTTTAAAAAATTATCAATTTTTTTTCGTACTCTTACCAGTCAGTGTCCCTGATCACCGCCATGCCAGTTATATGATGATGCTGTACTGGCACTAGTGAAAATAATTTTTTTAATTTTTAATTTTCTGAAAAATTATGACAAAAAAATACAACTTCAAAAAACTCGCCATGCCTCTTATGAAGTACGTCGGACTGTCTACTTTGTAAAAAGTGGTAATTTGGAGGATATCTGTACTGTTCTGACATTCTTGGACCTCAAGAAATTAGATTGTCTGTCAGTACTTCAGGATTGATCAATTTTCAGATCTATACCATAGTTTGTGAACTCTATAACTTTCCTACAAACTCTAAAAAATACATCCTAATTTAAGTTATTTTCACTAAAGACATGTAGCAGAATACATCTCGGCCTAAATTTATGAAGAACAATTATTTATTTGCATATTGTTATAACAGAACAAAGGACACACAACTTCCAGTGGATGCGCCATCTCGGTGACGCTGGAGGCCATAATCCACACACTTCTCCCACTGTCCTGAGGCTCCTGGGTGGTGTAACCTACTGCTGGGTCTGGGATCATGTGTTATCCTTCAGCTTCTGGGATTATGTGTTTCTGTTCTCCACTGGCTTGGAGATGTATCAGTTCGGGCCCCCCTGCATGTAATGCCATTTAAATTAATTTTGCTAAATTTTGATTTTATCTGTTCCTGGGCTTGTGGCTCTATTGGCTTCCACAGGGCTGGGACAGGTGTTCTACTCCCTTTCCACTCTATCCAAAACTAAAAAAAGTTTTGCCTTTATACTTTAAAACTGTTAATTAATGCATTAATCTACTTGGTCCTGTTTTCTCAACCACCTAATGGATAACCATGATTTTCCTACAGACTTCAATAACCAAAGCTCTTTCCAGAGGTGGCTACACAACTCTTTTGCAATATCTAAACATTTCTGGGTGTCCATTTATGATACATAGTTGAAGTGTACAGTACAGGGCTTTTTTTTTCAGCG